TAACAAATAATTATTATTAAGAAAAATAATGACTCATCTTCATAGAAGTCCTTGCTGAACTTGAAAATATTGATGTTTCTCATAGGTGGCTAGCCGGGAGTTAAAAATACCTATGTCGTATATACACATCTGTGAAACAAGCACAGCAACAGTGCCCAATACAATTGCTACAGCAGCATCCATTGGGGCAGATGTCAACGGCAGAGCTGTGCAGGTGAGTCTTCCTGCCTCTCCTCGGTGTTTGCCTCTCCCACATCTCTGGTTTTTATGGCTACATATAGGTACAATACTTAACTTCAGAGAAGTCATCTGTATTACTAAACATAGTCTGGGGTAACTAAAATGTTGGGAGAATGTATTTGGAGTAGGCTAAACTGAGATGACAGACACAAAATGTAAAGGCTCAAACACAGTAAAAGTCCTTTCTTGTGCACATATCAGTCCTGAGCATTGTTTGGTCATTCAAACACTCAAATTGATGAAGTCTCCACCATCTTCAACATGTAGCTTTCCGATTTGCCCTGGGTGTCATCATTCCCGTGAACATGGAGGAACTGGTATGGAAGACTCTGAGCCAGATCTGGAAGTGATGCAACTCACTTCCACTCATAGTCCATAGGCAGAACCAGTTTCAGGCTATGTCTAACTGCAAGGGAGGATGGGAAATGTAGAGTAGTGGGAAACCATGTGTCCAGCTGCTATGGAAGAAGGGAAGACTGCATTTTGGTGAACAGGCAGTCTCTGCTCCTGGGAGACACAGCAAGAAGAAATTTGGGTACCAAGTAATGCAGAGCTGTGCAAGTTTCCTCCAGCATAAACAAGTTCATGCAGGCAGATAGGCAGGCAGACCCCAGCCAAGGAGACAAGGTACAATTGAATCATTGTCTTCAGTGGTATTCTACTGAGTATTTAAAGCTTTCTTTGTAATTATTTTTTTAATTGATTTTTTAAGTGCTAAATTTTCACTGTCTCAGAATAGAATCATGACTTCATATTCCTTAATTCAAATATCTGATTCCATGTACTTTTGAAATATGTCTATTTGTCATGTTTCTGTTGCAAACTGTTCACTTTTCCACTGGATACTGTGGTAAGCCATATATTTCCAGAACACTGCAATGATACCACCAACTGGAATACCTTTCAAATCAGACCTAATTTTGTGGTGATACCTCTTAGGGAACCACAAAGCAGAGACTCTGTTTTGCTTGAAACAAATGTGTAAGAAACCTCAAATGCATGAGATCTAATTTGGAGTAGGGTCAAACACAAGAGAGGAACAGCTCAGAGTATATGGGAGTCGTCAGCCCAAAGTAAGAGTCAATCCATCTTCTAGAGTATTAAGTTTTAGGTTTCTGCTAAAGATCGGAAACTTTGTGGTTCGAGGTCATTATAAAGTACATTTAATTGTTTTCTCATTTCATACCCAAAGCCAGGGCCTTTATTGTAGGTGAATGAACAGATGAAGGGAGAGTTCAGACGCAGGAGGATGCTTGCATGTCATTGTTACAGACTGGAAAGCACAAATTTGAATGAAAATAGGATGTATATTCCATTTAATAGCCAGAAAATACAAAAGAAGTATACAAAAATACAAAAGATGTAGGAAAAGAAAAAACTAAGTGCCAGGCACAGTGGCTCATGCCTGTAATCCCAGCTCTTTGGGAGACCGAAGTGGACAGATGGCTTGAGCTCAGGAGTTCAAGACCAGCCTAGGCAACATGGTGGAACCCCATCTCTACAAAAAAGACAAAAATCAGCCAGGCTTGGTGGTGAGTGCCTGGAGTCCCAGTTACTCAGGAGGCTGAGGTGGGAGATTCACTTGAGCCTGGGATGTCAAGGTTGCAATGAGCTAAGATGATGCCCCTCCACTCTAGCCTGGTTGACAGAGTGAGACCCTGTCTCAAAAAAAAGAGAGAGAGAGAGAAGTTAAGAACCTGAATATTCTAAGAAAGAGGATCTGAGAGTAGAAATTCAGCTGAACCCATATTTTCACAGGAAGTGAGCCAGAAGTGGGGGGAAAAAAAACAAAACAACCTCCAGTAACCAATACTGTTCTCAAGGGCAGGAGTTGTGTTCTCAATGCATCAGGATCATGCACTCCATAGCACTTGCCGACCTATCAATCAATATTCATTCACACAAATTGTAACCACTAGAACAGACTGGGCTCTTCCCTAATGTGGATTCCATTCTTTACTACTTCAAGGATGCTTGTCAGATCCTTCTGAAACGCCTTGAGCCCATCATTAAGAAACATCCGGAAGGTACATGGGAAGACTGGGTGAGTATTCCACTCCCTTTGTTACTACAAATGAGAAAACAATCTAAACCAGTGCTGAGAGAGCACCACAGCAGTGCACAGCCACCACACAGAAAGACAGTTCCTCTAAGTGTCACAGTGATGGAGCATGCTCCCTGCTACTCCCCAGCTGAGTGGATTTCTGCAAACAGGCAGGATCTCTAAAGGTTGAGAAGGCCACTCCAGGATGTATGCCAGATGTGTATGGAGAAAGCACACAGGAAACAGCAATCACTGGAAGGAGAAATAGAAGTACATGAAGAATACACTTTGCTTAAGTAAGAAAGAAAAGAAAAAGAATAAGCCTTCCTAAGCCACACACACACACACACACACACACACACACACACACACACACACACACACA